TAGCACCCATTGATACTATGAAAGCTAGTCCCCAGGGAGAAGCAAGCCTTCTAGGTCAGTTCTGGCTCATCTCTTCCAAGTCTGGTGTCTGAAGCGTGTGGCATCTTCTGTAATAGGGTCTCGCTGTCAAGTTCTGAGAGGCAATAAAGGTTTCAGCTCCTTTTTTTGCAGCACATGGAGACAATTACAGGAGATGATTGGTCAAATTGCAGAGAACAACTAATCATAGTGTTCCCAACTCCAGCTGATACAACTCCAGCACAGTTCTTAAACTTAGGGTAACTTGCAAAAGCAGAGGTGGAAAAATTGCAAGCACCAGCAGAACGCTTGCTGTAAGGCGATTGCCTCCAAGACATGACAGGGAGGCAGCATCTGTGAAATCTCAACATGGTTACTTAAAGACCTGCATAAACAGCATCACCCAATGGCAAGCCATGGGGATAGAATAAATTTCTCAACTGTCCACTCCTAGATGAAGCATCAATGACTGCTGAGAGTAAGAACCAGTTTTTTCAGGACAAGTACCCTGACATGTTATTCAATGATAACTGGTTATCCAAAACAGTTGTATGTATACCTATGTAACAATAATAATTGAAGAAGAAGAGGTCATGAATTTGAGAGGAAGCAAGAGAAGGCATGGGAGTGTCGGGGCCAGCCTTGATGGGGCTCGCATGCTCCAGGGTAAGGGCATGGTGATTAGAAAAGTTAGGTAGGTGAAACAGAGCTATAGATAGAGACATAGGATAGAACTGGGAGGGCAGCCCAGTGAATACTGAATACACTCATGTTTATTTTTCATATGCTTATACACCCCAATCTAAAAAGGGGGGAAGAAGATAAAGGACTGCTTTAACATGACAGAAAGGACCGATAGAGCAATTAATTCGCTTCAATACTTGAAATATCAATCAACAATATCTTTTAGTTAAGTACTCTGTTGTTCAGGCAGGACATGTAATGACCATACCGTAGACCAAGCATTCTGCAGGCAACCATTCCCTGGGTCAAACCTCCTGTCATATCCGTCAAGGAGCAGGAATAGGCTTGAATTCTCTGATCTTTGGTCAAGGTGGAGTGGGTCCACCTCGATGGGCCATCAATATCCAAAACACCAAGTAACTATACCCTAGGTCAGGATGTCTTTTAGCCACTCCTTAAGTCAGATTTCTTGTCAATAACTTTGGAAGAGCAAGAGTAGGCTTAAGCTCTCTGACCTTCAGTCAAGGCAGAACGGACCCACTTCTGTGCCCCCCCCCACGGAAGGAATTGAAGAGGGAAGGGGAAAGGGTGTGAATGATGTAAATACAATAATCATATATTAAATTCTCAAAATTATGGAAAACAAATTATTGACTTATGTCTTCATATGTATGTGCATGGCTGTGTGCATACAAATGCAAGCCCATGTGGAGGCTGGAGGCCTTAGATCCCCCCTGGATCTAGAGCCATAGGTGGTGAGGAGCAACCTAATGTAGGTGCTGGGAACCCGTTAACTTAGGTCCTCTGTAACAATATGTGTTCTTAGCTGGCAAGTCATCTCTTCAGCTTCTAATTATGATTTGCAATGGAATTCTTTCCCACTATGTTATTTAGACTTGTTATTATCCAAACAAAATAGGGAAAGCTGTTGATGCATTTGCATGTGCTAGCCCTACTGATATTCTTCTTCTGTTTTTTTTTTTTTTTTTTTTTCCAAGTTCTTTTCGGGTGAATAATCATCTCCTGTGAAGGGCCAGGGAGAAATTAGTTTGGGCTTTGCAGGTCACAGGATCTCTTTTTTCAGTTATCGAACTCTGCTATTGTAGTTAAAAAAGCAGCACAGTCAATATAAATATTCATACAACCATGCTGCTGTCTGGATTTTGCCATAGGCATGGTATTTGCTCACTATATTCTAAAGATGCAAATACATTAAGTTCTCATGTGTTTTTTTTTGTTGTTGTTGTTGCCATAGTTTAGCTTATATATCATGTGGTTTGAAGTGTGTGTTAAAGACTGAGTGTCTAGGGTGGTGTGATAGAGAGGGAGGGCCCAGTAGGGGTGGGGTGCATCCTTTAGGGAGATTATGCCCCTTTTCACTCCTTCTTACTCCTTTTTCTCACCCCAATTTTCATTCTATCCTTCTCCTTTTACTCTCCTTCCCTTCCCCTTTATCCTTCCTCATCTTCTTTTTTCCTCCAGACTAGGAATTGAGCTGTAGGACTTTGCCCTACGGCTTTGCCCTGGTGTTGTACCTTATCACAGGCCCACAGCAACCAGAGCAGCTTCTCATGGTCCAAAATGCCTAAAACCACAAGCCAAAATAGTTCTGTTCTTTGTCTAAGTAATTTATGTCGGGCATTTTAAAAAAATGGTGACAGAAAGCTAAGCTTCTTTCAGCACGTAGAAGGTCTGCACAGTTTTGAGCAGAAATGGCAATGATGAGTCCTGTCTGGTTTCTACACAAGGTGTCAGGTTTTTGGCAGGCGTATTTATTTACTTAAAGATGATGTTTTCCATTCCTAAATTATCAAGTCATTAAGTGAGATTGTATTTTATGGAATGATATGTGATCATCTGCCAGTACCTTCCTTATCAGCTGCCTTCTGCAAATAAGCAAAATGCCTGTGTTGAACTTCCCCAGTTTCTGGAATAAATGATTCAACTTCCTGTTGCTCATTTAGAAAGCATCTATATTTCCAAATATATTTTTGTCATCTTTCTTTCCTCCCCTTCCTTCCTTCCTTTTTTTTCCTTCCTTCCTTCCTTCCTTCCTTCCTTCCTTCCTTCCTTCCTTCCTTCCTCCTTCGCTCCCCTTCCCTCCCTTCCTCCCTCTCTCCCTTTCTCTCCCTTTTCTCTGTTTCATTCCTTCTTTCTTCCACACTATTCTCTTTCTATATTGAATTAAAGACCCTCATCTTTTTCTATATTCTAAAACACTTCAAAAATATTATTTGAAACTTTGTCAGGTCACTCAAAAGACAATGGAGGGCTTAGCACTTTCTGCACAAATATAAGGCCCTGAGTTCAAACCCTTAGCACCCATGTTAGAAAGCAGGTATGGGCATGTGCTTGTTACTTGGGTGCTGTGGAATGATGCAGACGGAAGGATTGCTGTGTCTTGCTGGTTGTTTTACTGGACTCTATCTCAAGGAAGAAAAACACATAGTAATAGAGCGGGAAAGCCAGTGGTGTCCTTCTGCCTCTGCACTCACACATGTGCAACACACACACACACACACACACACACACACACACACACACACACACACACACTTTCAGAGAGTAGTAGAAATTTTCATCTAGTAACTATTTCCAGTGATGGGCCGTGAAAACCCCACCTACATCTCCAAATCCCCTCACTTTGTTCTTGACTGTTAGAGCGTGTCTTGGATCATTTCTTACATTTGCCCATGCTGGAATAGTTTAGCTGAGTGGGAGCATAAGGCATTGGAAGCTCTTTCACAGCTTAAAGTATCCTTGTTGCTTCCTCGTTCCTCTTCCGCTCAGGTTCAGTGAAGGTTGTTACACAGCAAAGGCAGACTGGGGAGAGGGTTCTGGGAATATGGAAACCTCCGCCAAAATAAAAGCAGCAAAGGGGTGACCTCGTGCAGTCTTGGAGAAGCAGAAGGATGGCTGATCCTTCCTCAGCCATTCCCTCCACTTCGACCATTACCCCTCTCTGTTCCAGGAAAGAGGCTGTATGGAGTAGAATACTGAACGAGCCTTTTGCTCTGGCGCCTTCATATGCAGTGACCAGGCACCTTGGGCTGTCCCACCTTCAGTTCCAACAATGGGGACTTTTTTTGTTCCCTACAAGGCCTCTCCCAACCATAAACTGCATCCTTCCCCGGAAGGGGGAAGCTGGAATAAAGAGCCAATCATCTAGCACCTGTGCCTTCAGTGTGAATCATGATTGGTTGCTGGGACCTGGGGACTCCTGTGAAAGCCGGGAGAGTGGGAAACTCCTCCGTTGGATTCTAGGCCCAGAGTAAAGGCTAGGAAGCTCCTCACCCGCTTATTGTCATGGACCTGGTAGTCCTGCAGACTGCCTTCTACACGGCCCAACCCCACACTTGTAAAGAAAGGACAGAGAGTGTCTTGAATGAAAAACACATTGCTCCATCAGTGGCTTCCCTGGAAATGATTCAGAGCCAGCCCTGTTGGAGCCAGCAAAGCCCAGCTTCCTGTGGAAGAGAAACAAGATAGATCATTGTGTGGGGACAGCTAGTGGAGGGAAAGTTGGGGAATGAAGGGCTTGGCTTATTCTCTGGAGTCAACCTGCGGGAGAGTCAAGAACGTAAAACCCCATAGCCCACTCATTGGGCCGGGGTGACTGACTTTGCAGCCCTCCCGGCCCAGCTGATGAGCGAGCCTCCCCTTCATGCCCAGTGCTTGCCAGCTCGGTCCTCAGTACTGCTCAGTCCTCGGCTCTGGGTTTCTGGAAGCCGTTTTCTTCCGCAGTACACACAATTTATGTCACCAGTAGGTTGCCTTTCCTTGTTTTTTTTTTTTTTTTTTTTTTTTTTTTTTTTTTTTTTTGTGGTACGTCTACCTGTCTATCAAAAATATGAAAGCCTGGAAGGTATCACATCGTATCCGAAGAGCACAAGCAGAATCTGGGAAACAGAGTGCAGTCTCTGAAGTGACTTGGAGGTTTTTCCTACAGTTATTTGGCTATTACAGTAAGAATGGGTATAACGGCGAGGGTGTATGTGGGAGGACAGGAGGAATATGGGTGTTTCCTGCACTTTCTTTTCTATGTTGCTATGATTCTAAATCTTCTCTGAAAATAAGGTTTATTGATTTTTTTAAAAAAGTTTTCAGTTGGGGTGGGGAATACAGCTTATTGAGCCACAAGGCACCGAAACACCAGCAAGTCAAATTAAAACCGATCTGAAAACAAGGGAAAAATTTCAAGAAAGAATATCTATAGTCAGATATGAAAAATAGCAGAAATCAACACCGCAGTGTTAAGAAAGAATGCAAAACGATTAAGTTCTTAGAGTAGCAAACAATGAAGAACATAGACCTAAATCTTTAATACCTACTGTACAATCAACATGTTCTATCAACAGTATGTAAAAGAGATCCTGATTTGCATTTGTACAGAGATTGCTTTCATCATCGCAAAACGTTACAAAGTTAAAATGTGCCATAGAAAAAGCTATAAAGCAATTGCTCAAATGAAACCGACATGAAATTACTGCTGTCTGGTGTTAACCAACCATGTCATCACGTCTAGTAACAGCCATTATATCCTGGGATGGCTTATTTCTACACCGTTGTGTTACATGGCAACCAGACTTGGTACTCAAGTCAAGAGAGTCAGGAACTGAATTTTCCACGTAAAATATGCATCTAAGACATACAAATTTAAATTCTTATGTTTTTCTGCTGTTGTTGGGGGTAATGACTCCTAGCAATTTCACTGGTAATTCAGGCAAGACAGGCTTAGACCTCAGAGGATCATTGTGTATATGTACATGGCAGAATAGCCTGGATTAGCTGCTTCAGTGTGTGTGTGTGTGTGTGTGTGTGTGTGTGTGTTTCTTAACGCAAAATTCCTTTTCTTAGAGCTTTATTCCTACAAAAGTCACCTAAGTATTTGGTAATTGTCTTGACGTTTGCCCTTTGTAGTCAAAACAGTAAAACAGTAGGTCAAGATTTTTCTTTTGGAGGTTAGTGGGTTGCAGCAGGTTAGCGGGTGTCCAACAATGGTGGATACATACACAGCGTAACACCTTTTCTTCACGACCACCCATTCTTAACAGAGTTTGCTTAGGCAACACAAAAATGGTGGTGGGGGTGTCTGTGTTATAATTCCTTTGCCTCTTGCTCATTGGCTAGATACTTTATTTACCCTTTAATGTCTGGACAGCAGCCTCAGTTCCTGACATGACACCCTAACACTGAGATGCTGACGAGCAGACGTAGGCTTCTCTGGGTTTGGGCATCATTTGTATCCGCACAGATATCTGTGAGTTCAGGGCTCATCCCCAAGCTTGTGATGTTTAACCTTGTCTGTACATTAGAAGGGACATACGACTTTCTGAAACAGTAAAAATTCTCAGATTTTACCCTATAGAGATTCATGTTTGATAATTCTTGGGCATGACTAAGTTTCAACGGTTTTAAAACCCTCTTTTGAGTGACCATGTTTGCACTTGATAGACTTCAGGAATACACTGAGTAACCCAAACAGCATAAATATTATGGCTTTCCAGACACTTCTAGTATAGAGTAATAAGTGAATGATGTTTGTAAATGTAAAAGCAAAATAATTGGAGTTAATGTCATATTAGCATATACAAACCAACAAAGTGTTATGATACTGAATCTCTTACACTAACAAGGTCATATTGGCAGATGACCTGAGAATGCTACGCATTGAAATTCTTCTAGTAGTTGTGAGCTGGCAGTAATTCTTATGTTAACCCAGAATCCGCAGCTCCTGCTCAGACCAGCAGTAAGCTTGTGTCCGTGTTTTCTTCCTGTAAGGATTCTGAAATGACCCTGGTCTCCTTCACTGTGGCAAGGACCTACCTAGCTTATCTCGACCCTGAGGTTGCACACTCGCCTAAGAGAAAAGAGACTTCTCCCCATCACCTCTGCGGAACCATTTTTAAGCAAAGATTTTAATTTCAAAGTTTGATTCTATTGCAGTTTTTCTAAAGCATGCAGTTTTTAGTTAAAAAATGAATTCCCTAAAAAAAATATACTTTACAAAGTTCAGTGCTACATAAAGAGGACAATACACTGCAAAAAAGTTACAAAAATACACCTGCATTTACAAATTCTATCTAAATGTGGCTCTGAGAATACAAAGTCTCTGGAACAGCAGGTGTGGCTGGGGAAGGGGGGGAGGGGTTAAGGTTTTACAGCCCACAAGCCAGGAAATGTAAACAGGTCATTATGTGATTATACAAACACATCCTTATCAAAAGAAAGGAGAGATTAAGCAAAATTTTAACATCTGTTCTTAAGTGGGACCAGCTCATTCAATGTGGAAGGTGGGAAGGAGGTACTGGGAGGCATATGAGTCTGGTTATTTAATGGAAGAGTGAAGCTGAGTCAGGACTGCCAGGGATGGAAGGAAATAATGGTCCCAGCATGGCACCTCCCCTCTCTGTAGTTTCTTTTACACCAGTGGCTGCTAAGGTTCCTTTAAAGCAGCTATTCTCATCCTTCCTGATGCTGCAACCCTTTCATACAGTTCCTCATGTTGTGGTGGCCCCCCCAACCATCAAATTATTTTCACTGCTAATTTATAACTGCTATTTTGCTACTGTTATGAAGCATAATGTAAAGATCTCTTTTCTGATGGTCTCAGGTGATCCCTGTGAAAGGCTCATTTGACCCCTGAAGGGGTCGTGACCCACAGGTTGAGTACCACTGCTTTAAAGGGTCAGCAAGGCAGCTCTCCCAGCCCCATGACTCCCTGCACAGATACAGTGAGGACACGTTGGCAAACATAATTTTAACTCTGGCAACAGCTAAAGTTTATGCAGAACATTTAAATAAAAAGAAAAGCAGGTTTGAAAGGTTTTTGCTACTTTATTTTGTTATAAGAAAAGTGTTTCAAAGTACAAAAATACTAAGATTTCATTGCTACAATTTGACTGGCTTTCTCCTGCTTTCCCTCACCAATCGCCTGCCCCTGACAAGTGACAGGGTCATTTTGAATTTCAGTTTTGAACCAACACCTGGCTAAATGTTTCCTCTGCCTTCCTGGTGGATCAACGATCGACGTGGCCTATCCTGGCATGGAATGGCGTGGAATGTCCATCTCTGGAAATGTTGCTTAGTGTTCTAACTACTTATTTTCATGAATGACAGCCTGACATTGTCATGGGTGGACAATAGTTAGGAAACTCAGGATGCTGCAAGCCTCATTCTCAGGCTTGAGGGAGCAGAGCAATGATTGGCTTGGCCTTGGACTTGACTTACTTAGTAGAGCTTTCCCGTCGTTGCTCTCTTGGGCTGAATTCTCTAAGGAAACATACTTTTCATTTTGCTAGTGTTTAAGACTTTTTTTTTTTTATCTCAGAAGATAATGGTAATATTATCTCCGTTGTGAACTTTCTAGATCTTCCCAGACAGAATGCACCATCTCTGCTCTGTGCTCTTGGTGCCTGGCTCAGACAACTTATCTGGCATTCATTATTTTGCTTTAGGATTAGTGTTTATAAGGCCATTCCTATCCACCCCTTGATAAATGGGAAGGGATGGATACCAAGAGCATTAAAGTAGTGTTTACCAAAGACAGATATTAACTAACTGGGCTGCAAGGAAGAGCAAATTTAGAACCAACATTGAGACCTTGAGGAGCTGGATGTACCAATGACAGTGGGGTTACTTTGACATGGGTTTCTTCCCAGAAGCATCCATGGAAGCATTGTTGTGGCTTGCAAACTCCTATTGCAAGTTTGCCACTTGGGTTCCACTTGGTTCTTAACATTCTTTCTCTCGGAACGTGCATACGGAGCTTACCTTGGGTTGCCACTTACTATGGAGTAGCTTAGATAATTTCTCTCAAAGGGAAAGAAAACTTGGGTGACAATTTGCCGCTTACACATCTCCAGTAAACACTTATAAAAATACAAAAAGGATTTTTCTTGTGTGGTTTATGCTGATTTTGGAGTGTAGAGGGGTGGAGGCAAAAGGGATTTGAAGAGCATTGTCATTTCTGTAGTTTCACGAGACATGCTTCAGCAGACCAGATGCCGAGACTAAACTCTTGGGTTATATTCCTCTATGAATTGTTGCCTTGCCACCCCATGTGAATTAAAGGCCTTTGGTTTGAGCACAAATGCGGAGTCATGGTTGTTCTGATAATACTGTTTCTTGTTGACTTTACGAAATCAAGACGGGAATGCCTATTACAGCTCAAAACAGTGAAACGGAAAACACAAGGATGTCAAGGAGGCCTGATAGCCAGAAATCACCGGTAAGCCAGCAGTGTAAGTACCGGGGACAGATTCATACAAAAGCAAGTCTGAGGGGGAACTTCTACCCCTTCCTCCTCCTTCTCCCAGCCCCAGGAAGTAACAAAGTGGCTTATCCTATTGTACCTGTTATTGTTTAAGGTTGTACAAGTGTGGCCTGCTCAAGGCACGCAGGCCTTCTTGTATATGTAGTTGTCTTGCCACAGAAATGTCTTGAAGCAGAGCTTGTGGAATCAACTTGTCACAGTTGGCACCGGGCAGCTCTGTGTAATACATACCGCAAGTAAGCTCCTTCCTTCTTGGAAGAGCCCATGAATCAAATCAATAAAGAAAATAAGAATCCAAAGGTCCCTGTGCAGCAAATCTCCAAATGTGTGTTTTCTTCCCCTTGCACCTCACCATGAGGTAAACTTCCGTCCCAATGGACTACATTCATGATGGATGCCTTTTTGTAGACTCTTCACAGTTTGAAGGATTAAAAAAAAAAATGTACCTTCAACTTCCCAAAGCGCGTCAGGGGAGGGGCCCACTGCTCGGCTCAAAGACAGAGCCCATCAAAGTTACTGTTGCAAACCAGTCTGAGGGTCTGACATTTGGCACAACATGGGCATGGCTGTTTGGAGGTGCTGCCATGGCTTGGTCCTGGGGTAATGATAAGTCTGGAGATTTTATAGCTGGTGTGACACCCTTTCATGTCAGGCTCCAATAAACTCAGTGCTTGTTGGTGCTACGCGTAGATATTCGGCATTTTCAGCTGTGGGGCCCTTATAGATGCCGTTTGGCCTGGCTTCCTGGGGAAAGAAGTCCTGCTGGTAATCAGGGTTGTCCAGGTTCATTTGATGGCTGCCTTTGGGAGCCCAGAGGGCAGGGCTGTCAAATCCACCGCTGACACAGGTAGGCTGGACAGTGTTGAGATACTCAGGGTTGCCCACGGCGTTGCTATGGGGATTTTGATAATGCAGGTCCCTGCCAGCTGCTGGATGCAGGGGCTGATTGTGATAGACAGGGTTCTGTACAGAGCCTGCTGGCCTTTTGGGGACAGACTGGTTTATATATTCTGAAACGGAAAAAAAAAGCACATATGAATTAGCAAAGCTTTGTCCCAAGATTCTCAAAGCAGAATTTCATGGCCCCGAAATTTTGGTGAATTCTGCAAACATCTTCAGCGAGACATGTGACGTCAGAGGGCAAGGAAGTTCTGGGAATCCTATGGAGATTCCCAAAGAAACTGTGAGATTTTCTGTTCTTCGCAAAGCAGCGGGCCTATGTGGTTTTTGTAAATTTAAAGAAAGATGTGTAGGGCGTGTGTGTGTGAGTGTGAGTGTGTGTGTGTGAGTGAAAAACCGAGCTGTAACTTGTGTTGGACACAGTTCCCACAGCACGCTTAGTTCCCTCTGTTTCTTCTCACTCCCGACACGTCTGCACGTTTGCCAGTCTCCCCCTCTGGATGACTTGGAAAGAAGCTCCTGGCTGGTGCCTGAGGAAATAAGAGTAGACACCACGACCAATGACCGCTTCCTGAGCAAGCTACTCACCCGGCGCAGGGAGGAACGTGTCGTCTAGGCTGTCCTCTGTTAAGGCACCAGTGGGGTCGGAGCTGTACCGCTGCAAGAAGCTGTCTTCCTTGAGACGACAGCTCTGCTGGGAAGAGAATTCGGCAAGGTTACTACAGGGAGGATTAGTTACTCAGACCTCGTTATAGATTAACTTCGCCTGTGGTCTTGTTAAAATGCACGTCCAAGTGGCTGGCACGTGCTTGCGATTTCAGAGCTCTGCAGGCTGAGCCGTGAGGATTGTGAGTTCAAGGCCAGCTGGGCTACTTAGTCAGACCATCACAGACCTGGACAGAATAGACTCGCTGGAGTCTGAGTCTGGGAGAACAGATTTCTGAAAGGCTCCAAAGGGACACCCGGTCTGGTGGGCTAGAGACAGATCATGTCAGTACATCTGACAGAATGTCCTGAAGGGATAGGGGCACCTTGGCATCTGTGTTCCATAATAAGGCAGTCCCAGCCCACACGTGGCCCCTGAACGTCTGGAATGTGCGGTGAGCTGACTTTCATGTTTTATTTCGCGTTATTTAAAATGGAATTAGTGATGTGGCGGCTCGCGGACAGCACAGCGCAGGCACAGGCTGAAGCACCGTACTTCCTTGTGTTCAGGGTGACTTGGGGGGCTCGTGCCCACACTGGTGACACCCCCGCAGATCCTGCTCGTGGGTCTGCTGGAGGCCTGAATATCTTCACTTCTAATGGCTGCCAGGTGAGGCTGATGCTGGCTGCCTATGAATTACACCTCCCGTGGTCATGTGATAAGTCATCACTAATTCCTGGCCTTAGGGTTTCAGTCAAAGAAGCTATGATGTGGAAAACGCAGGAAGGAAGGTCCATACGATGTGGGCAGAGATGGGCACATTCCCTGAGTAACAGGGCTTGAAAACCAGCTTATTTGATTCTGGTTTATATTGTGTTCATACATACCCCATTTCTATTAATGCATGCCACAGTGGAATTGTTGCTGGTTGCACTCTGGAAAAAAAAAAAAAAAAAGCAATGTTGCTCATCGTACAGTGGTCCATTCTCACCCATTTCCCGCAGTTGCAGGAGGTAGGTCTCACAGAGTAGAAATATTTCAAGGTGTTTACTGCTTTGGATGAAAGCAAATGTATTTTGGAGAAGAGAATTTTTGTCTTGAGTGACAGCGTTAAAAAAATGAGGCAACAAAATGACTACATAAATTATTGGTTCTGATGCTAGGTTCCATTTGTTAAAATTTACTTCTTCTTCTCCAAATATAATCTAGAAAATGGAAACCAAATCAATTTAAATCAGGAGAGAGAGAGCGAGCTCGCATACCAGAGAACTCAAGAGGGGAGTCCGAGATGTGGATGGGCTGTTGAAGAAGCCTTGCTGTGGAATGAGGTACTCGTCGGCATCAACCACATCTTCCATGTCCTCTTCATCCATCAGGGCTCGGTAAAAGTTGGAGTCTGTCGGGCTGGGCAAATGCATCCTTTCATCCCCCTGGTGCAGAGATTTTGAGACCATTAGAAGGGGCAACAGAGTTGCTTTTCTGTTCTCTGGCTACAGGAGTAAGGGTTTTTATCAACAGGTACCTGCAAGTTTGTTAGTTTATATTGGGCAAACTCTGTGGTTCTCAGATCCACACACAGCTCTTTCCATATTAAAGTGTGGATATTTTGCAATGTAATAAACCCATAAATCTCCTGATTCTGACAGCCTGCATATGAGTAACCGCTTAAGAGAAAGGAGAAAAAGAAGCACTGGGAACAGTTTACTGTCCCCTACACAATGTTATGCAATGTGCTTCGCATATATTATTTTACTGAAACTTAAAATCCACATAGTCAAGTGACCTTGGTTTTGTTATTTCAGAATTAGATAAGGAAATGGAATGATTGGTTGTACACGTGGCATAAGGATGCATATAGAGTCAGGGATGGAAGCCATGACAGTGAAGCCAAAATGTAAGGTGACTGACGTGTGAATCTGAAGAACAGGTTGGGTCCAGGTAGGACTGCTCAAATGGCATGGCTACTTGGAGTTGGATGGGACCCACCGCTGGTCCCAATGTAGTTCAGAATCACTGGGTTGTAACTGGAGCAGCTCCAACACACAAACGGATTTATTAACAGGAAAGCATCCCCCAGGCTGTGCTGAACCACCACAGTGGTATCAGGAGCTATTGCAGGAATTTTGGAAATGGAAGTGCAAACTGTGACCTGGTACCTGGATAACAAGGTAGCGCTGGGGGTCTCGGGCCATTTTGGAGAATTCGAGAATCAACTCTCGGAACTTTGGGCGGCTATCGGCATCTATCATCCAGCCTGAAGGAAAAGAAGGAAAGTAGAGCGATTAGCACCCTGGAAGAAATGAAAGAGAACACTGCTTGAAGCACTTACCCTGTGATCTTCCTAGGCAAATTGGATGGTGAGGACATAATCTTTGGGGTGGACTTTTCAACCTCAGCACAGAGCTGACATTGGTTGGTCCTCAAAGTCCGTGAGAAGTTGTTGTCACCACGGGATAGAGCCCAGGGACATATGCATTCATCCTCAGCCCGATACACTATTTTTAAATCACAGTAACAATAACATACTCTAATGTTTCTACGTTTCTTCTCCCTAGACAGCATTCTTGCCTTACACTCTTCAGTGACTACAGAGTATTGTCGCGGGCAATCACGACTAAATTACGCTGACTTTGACATGCCTTTGTGATTTCATTGTCCCTACTCCATAGCCTTCCAGACTGGAAACCAGATTAAATATCAAGGCCTTCTACAATCAGTTTCCATTCACACAAATGACAAGGCTGCATCCATGTCCTGTTATTTATTTATCTTGCAGGGCTGGGGACCGAACCTAGGGCCGCATAAAGCAAGTGCCTTCTGTGTGAAGCTATATCTAATGGCCAAGTGGGTGCATTGGATTACACAATGATCTAAATATAGATCCAGCGATGAGGAGGATAAACTGTGGGCTAGAAATCCCTGTGCTTCTCGGGGATTCACATTTTTTCAACTGGATGTCAAAGTATTTTAGGCCAAACTGCAATGTGACCTTAGACAAATCATGTAACCTTTCTGGGCCTCAGCTTCCTCAGCCCGAACCAAAGCAGTGAAAACAGATCGGCTCTCAGGTCTAAAGTTCAGGCATACATTGTTACTTATATAAGCACAGCTGTGCTGGTTGGTTTCTGTCACTATGAGAAAAACTAGAGTCATCTGGGAAGAGGAAACTTAAACCGAGGAAATGCCTCCATTGGATTGGCCTGTCAGCAAGCCTGTGGGACATTTTCTTGATTAATGAGTAGTGTGAGGAGGGTCCCGCCCACTGTGGGTGGTGCTACCCCTAGGCTGGTGATTTTCAGCTGTGAGAGCAAGCCAGTACCTCCCTCCAGGTTCTGATTTTGAGTTCTTGCCCTTGTTTTCCTTGACAATGGACAGTGGGCTGCGGGCCAAATAAACATGTTCCTCTCCAAGTTGCTTTTGGTCCATGTTTTATCACAGCAAGCTGCCACAATGACTGTCACATTCCTGTGCTATGTTTTTATGTTAGTGCTATCCCGTGGGTAAGGTTATTTTCTGAGCTGAGCACACTTGTGATTTGTGTGCAATAGTAGCCCTGATCCAAAGGCACGCTCCTATTGAGATTAAAATGATGAACTGCCGTGCCACGGAGATCTCACGTAAATCCACTGTTTGAAAGGTTTAAGCCAGAGCAGAAATGTTGATTCTCTCAAAGTCCCCTGGTTACTCATTGTTAGGCATTTAAAAACATTAAGTCTGTCTGGCAACAGGTCTCAGAATGTAAGGCAACTTTGTAAGGTCATTGAGCAACTCAGAGAACAGAATATTCTGGAATAATGGCTTATGAAAGACTTTGGTTTATTTGGTTGCAAAGATGGGAAAATATGAGGTCGGGATGAGTCAAGCAAGTGATTCCTAAAGAATGTTTGCAGGAGGTGTTTATGATGTTTCTGGAATTGTGTGCCTGCCTTAAAGAGTGATGTTCTTTCTTCGGGGAAATGACGGCCTTGGTATTTGGCTAAGAGTAGCTATGCCCTTTCAGGCTGCTCTACAAGAGTGTGAATAGTCGCCCCAGGCACTCACACTTGACCATGATCATGTAGACATCAATGGTGCAGATAGGCGGCTGTGGAAGGCGTTCTCCTTTCTCGAGGATGGATGAGATCTCACTTGCAGGGATTGCATCATAAGGCTTGGACCCGAAGGTCATCAGTTCCCACACGGTGACTCCTGAGCAGACAAAGCAGGCAAAGAAAGTTATTGTTTCATGAGTTCATGGTCAGCACATCATCTAATCTTTAGTCATTAATGTGGCTAAGTATTTTAAAATGTATGTTTCTATAGCTTTGGAGCCTTTGGTTTGACTACTGATGCCTTTGGTTTACCTTCAAGTAGGATAGTGGCATCTGTTTCATAGCCTGGCTTCAAGTACCTAGCAAGGCTTAGACATCAAATGTTTAGTTTAATGTGAGACATATAGTTGTTGACTGATAAGGAGAAGAGTTCAATAATAACCCTAAAGATAAGGACAACTGTGGAATATGAGTTTGCCACAGAACAAGGTCCATCCACGTACCCAGCTGCCCTGAGCGCCTTACACTCACAGTCGTGGAAAAAAGGCCCGTATGAATATGGCTGTAAACGGCAAAGCATTTGATACATAATGTTCTTTGTCCTGTAGTTAATACAATCTGCTAGATCTGCTTCCCCGGGAGATGTTCAGGGTAACCCGGTAACCCGAATTTGTGTTCTTTGGTGATGACCTCCCATGGCTGGTTCAGAATAAATCATCCTTCATTCCCTTTGAGGTGAGAGTTGTGTTTCATAACGACAGTGTTTTACAACTTTTCTATGAATTGCTGGTGGGGAATTCAAGGACCAAGTGCCTGACACAGCAACCAAGTGCATTACCGGTGAAGACATAACAGACCCAAGACAAGGGAAGAACATGCGAAGTGGACTTCGCATGAGTGGTCACCCAGCGCAGACGAAGCGTAGTCCTGGGCATGGCTATGCTGTATTTAGAAGAACTGGGCCCGGGTGAGGAGGGTCTTTTTTGAGCAGCACATGGTAACTGTTTTCCTGTTCTTATTTACTTCCTACATATCCTCATGGTTCCCCCTTGTCAAGATATTAAATCAAATATGACATGATCCAACAGTCTTGGGTGTTTCATGAGAAAACATTTATCTATCAGAGATGCTTCATTTGCTGTTTTCCTTTCATGCCTTTCAAGTTCAAAGCAAGAGCTTATATCTGTTTGACTTCTGCAGGCAGAGGCTTAACCTACATTCTGGTCCTTTTTCCCCCTATGACCTTCCCTGCAGCATGAGTTCCTGGTTGTCTCTAGCAATCCTTGGTGTGGCAGCTAAGCTTCATTTCCTTTGTCAGATTCTCTTAGGATGGTAGATAGACAGCAGCTCCATTATGAATGCCCACTGTCTTGAAAGGTAACACTTGCATGTCAGGGCATATAATGTCAATTAGCAAATAATAGGAACCAGCTTAGCCTTAGTACAAATTCATTAGCGTCAGAGGTTTGACTCACCATAGCTCCAGACGTCACTTTGGTGTGTATAAATTCGGTGTAAAATTGATTCCAAGGCCATCCACTTGATTGGCACCTTGGGACAAAGTGAGGAAAAGCAGCAAGAAGACTATCAGCTTACAGCTGAAAAAAAATGTAGTCCTTCTAGGTGTAATGACAAATGACTTGGGAGGAAAGTCACGTGACCTCCCTACCAGGCTTAAGGTCTCTGCTCCCGCTCAGCGCTCAGTAGGGATTTTTAAAAATACACCAGAGAACAGGTGGGTCCCAGAACCACTTCATGAAAGCTGTGACCGAGAGCGTTTTGAGTAACGGCCTATTTTGATGAACTAAGGCTGTGGTATTTCCCTACAGCCCTCGATCCCAGACTTTGGGTATGTTTCCAATAACCGAGTTCACGGGGTTGACAGTGCTATGTAGAGCCGCGCTGTCAGCATGACGAGAGGGCTGTAGCTAGGGAGGGCTGGGGGTCATCTGGAGAGTCTGGCAGGCCTGTGCACCCCTCACGGCTGTGACGCGACCTTGAAGGGACTGAATACATTAGAGAGGGAAGATAGCCAGCCCCCTCACTGCCATTCTCCAGCATGAGTCAACAGACTCACCGGAACTCCCAGAACAACGCAGCTCATTGAACATGAGTCTCAAGAGAGGTTACTACTAAATTAGCGGTGATATTTCCCAACTGGTTTTTTGAAGGGTGTCTTCCTCCTGGGGGAGGCAGTAGAACTCAACAGTTGTTATTACGTCACCGTCACCTGGAGATGGGGGCTTGCTCTCTTTGGCTTCTGGGGGGGGGTCACACTCTTCACTGCCTCTCTCATCAAACTCCACTCACAAAGTAGACTAGCCCCCAGGTCATGGTGGCAGCTCCTATGACCTCACTCGGCGTGGTTGGCAAAGGCAGCCCACAGCTGACAGGGAGGGGGATGGGTCTGAGTTGTCAAGGAAATACTTTCCTGATCTGCTACTACTAGGTCCTTACTTTGCCTCCCTCGGCATGGTATTCTTTCTCGTCAGCACCGAGTAGTTTGGCCAGCCCAAAATCTGTGATCTTGACATGCTGTGGGGTCTTCACCAGGACATTCCTGGCTGCCAAGTCACGGTGCACCAAGCGCCGATCTTCCAGATAGTTCATGCCCTGAAAGACAGAGGGCCTCGCAGTGAGGGAGTGAACCATCCAGAGGAGACCCCAGGGTCCCGGGAAGGCGGTGCTCATGCACCTGGACTCAAGGTGAAGTCCCTAAGAATCCCTGGGCTGCTCCACACCAGGGAAGAAGCTGTTAGCTTTATACTTTGCAACTTGCAGTTGGTAAACATTGGCAATTATCCTGAATGAATGACAAGTGAATGGAGCTATAACCACATGCGATCAGGAACTTTTCTCCAGCCAGATACTCAGGTCACACATAAAAATGGTCAGTTCTGCCGGGCGATGGTGGCACAAGCCTTTAATCCCAGCACTTGGGAGGCAGAGGCAGGCGATCTCTGTGAGTTTGAGACCAGCATGGTCTACAGAGAGCTAGTTCTAGGACAGGCTCCAAAGCCACAGAGAAACCCTGTCTTGAAAAACCAAAAAAAAAAAAAAAAAAAAAAAAAA